CACACACACACACACACACACACACACACACACACACACACAGCTAAAAAGCAGAGAGCATTGCTAAAAGAACACTGAATTTTTAAGATACATAAAGCACATCTTTCACTCAGACTTATGTGATGTTATTTTAGCTCATGTTCTTCGAGAGGGCCGTTACGCAGCATCAGGAGGCGCGTCAGACTGACACCAGACTGCATTACACATCAAACAAATAAGCTGCGATGCCTTACTCTTCAGCAAACTGCTCCCAAGAATTGAATAGAATAGAAATAATCCTGCTTTTACATTAATACTTGTGTAACAATGTTTAGAATGATGAACTATTCTGAATGATTCTATCAAAATGATTTCCAATTGTTCGTAATTACTGGACATATTAATGACACGCTGCAATGATGGAAACACCCTTTTATTTCTGATCTCCAAGCGCACAAGACTTTAATCTACCGAGCTCCTTCACACACACACACACACACACACACACACACAAGGCAAGGTGTGTTCAGGCTGTGTTTGGCATCTTATCACCAAGGTATTTCCATCACACACACACACACACACACACATGCAAAACACATCTGTGAAATGGTCAAAGACTCTTACCTCCACAGACAGAGTAAAGGTTTTGGGTTTTGGGCTCTGGTGACACACCTTGTTCTCCGTCTCCTCTGGGTCTTTCTCTTTCTCTCTGCTCATCCCATGCGCTGGGTGAGGGCTGCTGGGATGCTGCAGTGAGGGAAACACACCCTTCTGCCTCTCTGCCCTCCCCAGCGCCAGCTCTGATTGGTGGAGGAGCAGAGGTGACATCATCTCCTCCTCTGCTCTCTCTGTTCCACCCATCCCCTCCCTTCCTCTCCCTGCTTCTGTCAGAGCCACAATGGAGAGGGTTGGGCTTTTCCTTTCCTTACCCCTGCATGCCCCCCGAGCACTCCAGCAGACACAAAGTCAACTCTCCAACCCTTAATTACCGTCTTCACAACAGCCTCACTCCGCCCCTTCGTTAGATTTCCCTGTTCCTGTCACACGGCCTCATTACTGTCACACCCAAACATTATGTACATTTATTCATACACAATGGTGGTGGCAGTGTCTTTATTTTAGGAATATTAATGAGTACGGTTATAATACTCGGATGGGAATCGTCATCATGGAAATTATGTAATAAGAGGCCTTACAAGGAATCTTAACAAACAGGGCGAATTTAATTTTGTCCATTTGAGGCTCACTCTCGTGTGCTACAATGGAGTTGGCTTTGAGTGCAGATTATGACTTGTTTTTTGGCTGAAATTTCACCCATCTATATTTAGACAGCTACGGGTTTTCTAAAAGGCCAGAAGTGTTCTTCACTAGAACATGAATACAAACACATTGTACAAACACAAATGTTTGAAGCAGCCAGCCGCCGTGCATCCCCACCCCCTGCGGACCAGCATGCAGGAGCAGATGGAGCTGTGGGTGTGGGGGACGCTCCAGCCTTTCTCACACACATATGGTGCTCGGACGGACGCTGTTACATGCACTCATCTCACTCATGTTGGTTAAATTTATGTCTGTGTGTTCTTGTTTAACACACACCCGCATTGTTGTGTCGGTTTATGTTTTCCTTTGAAAAAGTCTGGATCTTACATGTATTTGTCATAATACTAATGAGTAAAATAATTTGTTCATAGCACCAGCTGTTTGTTTCTATAGGCTACACACACACAAAACATGTGTGTTTAAGAACTCATTCCACTAACTCATAGTGTGTCAGTTTGTGATGTTAAAATTGACAGTCTTGTGCATTTTCAATGATCGTAGTTTTACATCACTGACAGAGTACAGTGTAATATTGACAACATGGAATTTCTTCCAACATTTCTTATTAGTACATTTAAAAATGTATTTGAAACATTAATCTCGTAACATTTTTCGCAGTTGTAATTTTGCGGTGTAAATTGTTTAATTTGACTTGTAAAAGCCCCACTGTGTCATATTATAATCGAATGTATTGACTAAATATAAGACATTGACATTTAGAATGATTCATACACTTAATAAGGTTAAAATGGTAAATGTAAATAATGGCCATGGAGTAAATATCACAACTTTGCAGACTGAAGTATGTAAAAGCTGGTATAACGCTGATGAGAGTATTGATACAGAAACAATTAAATATATATAAAAAAAATGTTTTATTAAATAAAATAAATGAGCAACTTCGCTATAAGTAATACCTTCAGCATTTTCCTGTTAACAGTGACAGTTTTTACTGCAACATTTACAGTACAGTATTGTGACTAGTGGTCGACCGATATGGGTTTTTTGACAGCCGATGCCGATATCTTGGATAGCAGGGTGGCCGATGGCTGATATAAATCCGATATAATTTTATTTATTTTAATTTATATTTAAGAAATTTGAAATAATTTGAAAATGGATTAAAAAGAATTGTGTAAAATAAATATACTTTCGAAGACAAAGCATTTTTCACAAAGAAATACATATTTAATAAAAATCTAATTAAAAAGGAAGTAAACAGTAACACTGTAACCAACAGGGCACACAGTATTCAGTTTGTGTGCATTGGGAATCTTTTTATTTTCCAAATAAAGCCAAGGTAACACTCATTTTACATACATTTACAAATGAGGACAATAGAAGCAATCAAAACCAACAAAAGAGCAATAATATGCAAGTGCTATAACAAGTCTCAATTAGCTTAACACAGTACACGTAGCAAGGTTTTTAAAATAATATAATAAATAAAAAGAAAACAGATAGAATAGAAAAATTGGGATGAACAATAAAGCGTTGTTCACTTGCAGAACGCAAGCTTCTAGAGGCACATAACTCTGAAGTAATGAATTTAGGTAAAAGGGTGCAGAGCCAGTGGTGGTTTTGTAGGCAAACATTAATGCCTTGAATCTTATGCGAGCAGCTATTGATAGCCAGTGCAGATTGATAAACAGAGGTGTGACGTGCATTCTTTTTGGCTCATTAAAAATGTATCTTGCTGCCGTGTTCTGGATTAATTGTAAAGGTTTGATAGAAGTGGCTGGAAGACCTGCCAAGAGAGCATTGCTATAGTCCAGCCTGGACAGAACAAGAGTTTGAACAAGGAGTTGTGAAGCATGTTCTGAAAGAAAGGGCCTGATCTTCTTGATGTTGAATAAAGCAAATCTGCAGGACCGGGTAGTTTTAGCAATGTGGTCTAAGAAAGTCAGCTGATTATCAATCATAACTCCAAGGTTTCTAGCAGTTTTTGAAGGAGTTATGGTTGATGTGCCTAACTGGATGGTGAAATTGTGATGGGTTTGATGGAACCACAAGCAGTTCTGTCTTGGCAAGGTTGAGTTGAAGGTGATAGTCCTTCATCCAGCAAGAAATGTCTGTTAGACAAGCTGAGATGCGAGCAGCTATCGTCGGATCATCAGGATGGAATGAGAGGTAGAGTTGAGTGTCATCAGCATCGCAGTGATATGAAAAGCCATGTTTCTGAATGACAGAACCTAGTGATGCCATGTAGACAGAGAAGAGAAGTGGTCCAATGTTTTTGTTGCACTGATGTTTTTAATTTTATTAATGAAAAACGTGACAAAGTTGTCAGCTATTAGATTTGATCAAGGAGGGGGAGGAGGAGGACAAAGGAGGGAGGAAAATGATTTAAAGAGCATTCGAGAGTTAGACGAATTATTCATTTTGTTATGGTAGTATGTCCTTTTAGCAGTGGAGGCATTAGCAGAGAAGGAGGAGAGGAATGACTGATACAAGTTAAGGTCAGTAGGATTTTTGGATTTACGCCACACCCTTTCAGCAGCTCTGAGCTTAGAACGATGCTTACGGAGAACATCAGATAGCCAAGGGGCAAAAGACGTGGTACGAGCTGGCCTGAAAGACAAGGGGCAGACAGTGTCTAAACAAGACGTAAGAGTGGAGCAGAAAGTATCAGTAGCACGGTTAACATCAAGAGATGATAACTGTTCAGGAGAAGGAAGCAAAGATGAAACCATAGCAGACAGCCGGGAGGGTGAGAGTGAGCGTAGGTTACATCGAAAAGTGACATGTGTAGGGGTATGTGTTGTGTCAGGAACCATGTTGAGGTTAAGAGTGAGGAGGAAGTGATCCGAGGTGTGCAGTGGAGTAACCAGCACATGATCAGTGGAGCAGTGTCGTGTGTAAATAAGGTCCAGTTGGTTACATACAGCACGCAATGAAAATGACATGAATATGACAGCGGGCAAATGCATAAAGTGCAGCATAATTTTAAATCACTAGTTTAAAGTTTGCCAATCATGCGTCTCCAGTCAAGCAAAACTCTCCTCCCGTCCGCATTCAATTTGCATGGATCGACCGTCACGCAGAGAACACGCGATCATGCAGGATGCACACTTCACAAGATCTCAACTAGATTCACAAACCTGGTCTGCAAGGTTTGTGAAATTAAATGTTCATTAGTCATTCGAAGATTTGTTTAAATGATAAAAATGCGTATTTGCTGAATGCTGACGGCAAATGAGAAAGTATTATAATGTTTGCCTCTCTATTACTAATAATATTAAAGCAATCATTATAATACTTTTTTGTATTCAATTTAATTCCTTTGTTTAACAGTTCTATCTGATCATTAGATAGACTTCTATCCATATTAGACAGAACTGAACAATGACAGCGAACAAGAGGGAGAATGTGAGCGGTGTGCACTCAGGCGCTGCCATTCTCAGCGCCGTCAAAATAAAAGTCCCGCCACGAACACATCGGCCAAACAGAAAAACTTATCAGCCGATCCCGATATTTGAAAAATTCCAAATATCAGCCAATATATCGGCCTTGGCGATATATCAGTCGACCACTAATTGTGACACTAAAAATGTTGCAAACAAGAAAACTATCAAAGTAAAAAAAATTATAATAATGCAATTCAAATACAATTAAAATGTTAAATTCAGTTACAATACTAAATAAAAGGGCTCAAGGATCTATGGCTGTCTTTTTCTACCTGTCCCTCTATAGGTAGATCTGGCCTTTCATTAAGGCTGAGGTCAGGGATCTTGGTGACCACTGGGTTACACTATTCAACAGAGAACCAGTGCTTTTTGAGCAACATGACATAAGCAACTGATAATGTAGGAAACAGCAGACAACTGTACATAATCAATTGTATGAATGTACCGAAGCATTTGCTACTTGTTCATAAAGATGACAAATTGCTTTAATGATGAGCACAAGTGACTAGATGATGTGGAGGTTGAACATATAGTTTGAGAATTTCAGCTGTGATCTGAGAAATGTACCAAAGTGACTGAGAAAAACTGGAAGTAAAAGGTTTATAACCTTTTTATAACGTCCGCTCACTCCAGCCCTCCAGCCGTTCCTCACTCGCCGGCCATCCACTCACTCTAGCCCGCTGGCCATTCCTCACTCGCCAGCCGTTCCTTACTCTAGCCCGTCGGCCGTTCCTCACTCTAGCCCGACCGCTCCTCACTCAAGCCCGCCGGCTGTTCCTCACTCAAGCATGTCGGCCATTCCTCAATCTAGCCCGCCGGCCGTTCCTCACTCTAGCCCGCCAGCCAATCCTCACTCAAGCCCGCCGGCCGTTCCTCACTCTATCCCGCCAGCCGTCCGCTCACTCCAGTCCTCCAGCCATTCCTCACTCGCCAGCCGTTCCTTACTCTAGCCCGCCGGCCGTTCCTCACTCTAGCCCGACCGTTCCTCACTCAAGCCCTCCGGCCGTTCCTCACTCTATCCCGCCGGCCCTCCGCTCACTCCAGTCCTCCAGCCATTCCTCACTCGCCAGCCGTTCCTTACTCTAGCCCGCCGGCCGTTCCTCACTCTAGCCCGACCGTTCCTCACTCAAGCCC